CTGGGGTGCCGGAGGACCCTGCCGTGGGCATCCCTGGGGGCCAGGCGTCCCCTCCTCCCGGCAGCCCGCGCCCTTCACGCACAGCGCCGACAGCAGCCCGACCTGGAGCCCAGCACGCGGAGGATCCGCAGCGCACAGCCGAGAGCACCCCGGCTGGGGGGCAAGAGTCCGAGTCCAGATGCTGCCGCGCCTCTCCAGGCCTCTCCGGCCTCAGTCTCCCCATCTGTAGCCCTCTGGTGGGGGCTGGTGTTGTGGCCAAGCAGGCTAAGCCGCCACCTGGTTAAGCGACGCTGGTATCCCGTGAGTACCGGTCCAGGTCTGGCTGCTCCACTTCAGGCCAAGCTCCCTGTTAACACACTTGGAAAGCAGGGGAAGGTGGCGCCCGCACTGGCACCACGTTCCAGGCTCCTGGCTTCAGCCTGGCCCCAGTCCTGGCCATTGTGACCATTTGGGGAGTGAACCAGCAGATGGAAGATCTCTCTGCCTCTCCCTCTTTCAAACAAATAAGTCATTAAAAAAAAAAATCATACAAAAAGCCGACGGAAGCTCCCCAGGGAGGCAGAGGGCCTGGGCCCTGCGCACCGCGGAGGGGCGCCCCGGGCAGGGACAGGAGTCAGACGCGGCAGCACCCGGCAGACAGGCGACCCCCTGCCCCACTCAGAGCAAAACCGGCGAGAAGTGAACCCGCCGCAGCCCAGCGGGACTCGTGTTCTGAACACAGAGCCACCTCTGAAAATAAAAACGAAAAAAGCAAATGAGGCCATTTCACTTTTTCTGCTCTCGGGGCCTCACCCCACCACGGCGGGGCCCTCGCACAGAGGCCGCCTGGCAGGCAGGAAACCGGCCGCGGCGGCGGCAGTGGCCCCCCGGGATTCCCCACTGGTGCTCAGGGACACTCAGGCTCCCTGGGGCCCCGAACAGGTGCAGCTGGCTGCAGGCGGCAGGTGAAGCGCGCTGCGTGGCACCGTGCCAGGCCTCAGGGCTGCACCACCTCACTCCCAACCTCCCCCCAGAACTGTCCCCCGAGGCAAGGCGCCCAGCCTTCTGTCTGCCCAGCCCGGGGCTCTAGAACTTTCTCAGACTTCTCTTTCTCTCCCACGTTCTCTGACACACACACTCAGAATCTTGGTCCTCACCACAGCGGCCAGACCCGGCAGTGCCGGGTCACATGTGCTTGGGCCCGAGCCGCCCCCGGGGCCTCTGCTCCGCACCCCAGCCCAGCCTCTGGGAGATGCCCTTCAAACAGAAATGCAAACTGCGACGGCTGCGCCGGGACACCAGCGGGAGGGAGGGGTGCGCGGCAGCACCAGCACCAGCCTCTCTCTGTAACCCGGACCAAAACACGGGCCCCTTGGCCGGAGGCTTCTGGAAGATTCTCTCCAGTCCCAGCCAACAGGGCCCTTCTGCCAGGGCAAGGAAGTCATCCTGGGCGAGGAAGCCGGGAAGCAGCCGAGGGCTGGCTCCTGTTACAGCCTCGGGCGGACGACAGGTGCAGCAGGGCCCTCCCTCCTAGAAGCAGCCAAACAGGAAGTGATGGCGGAGGAGCAGTAGGGCCACCACCGAGACACCCTGGGGGGTGGGGGGGGCAGCCAGGCCCCTGCTCCACGGCACGCACGCTGTGACCGCCCCTGCACCTGCTGTCCCCGGGCCTGGAAGCCGCTGCCCCAGGGACCGCCAGCGCCAGTCTCCTCCCCAGCCTGACTGCCAGACGCCACACACACGTCAGCACCTGCAGCTCCCTTCCCTGGCTGTGTTTGCTTTGACGGTGAAATAACGGGACACCCGAGAAGTTACCAAAACAGTACCAAGAGGTCCCGTGGACCTTCCCCCAACACCCTGTCTCCAAGGGCAACATCCCACGCACCAAGTCCAGGCCTCCTTCCTGGTCGCTCCTCGGGTCCTGGGGACGCAGACACTGTGGCATCAGCACGTGCCGCGTCACGTGTGACCTCTCATCACACACACACACACACACACACACACACACACTCATCTTCCCAGCACTACACTCAAGACCAGGAACCGCCTGTGCCAGCCGCCCCCACTGCCCATGTGTGTACAGCGACCACGCCTGGTGTTCAACGACCCCCACGCACAGGGCCGGCCGGTGCTTGTCTGCACAAGGACGGACGCCGGCGACAGGTTCACAGCGTCCCCAGCCCCGAGGCTTCCACCCCCCACCCCCGCCCCTCCTCTCACCTGAGGGGCCCACTCTGCTCAGGCCCCCAGCACACACGCCTCCAAGGCCTGGTTGGTGCCGGAGAGGCGGCTGGGGCACCAGGCACACCGTCCAGAGGCTGCACGCGTCCGGGAAGCCGCACACACCTGGGCGAGGGTCCCACGGCCAAGTCCACCCCGTGGCGTCTGCGCCATGGGCCAGTGGGCGGTGCTGGGCCTTTCTCCCTGGCTGCAGCTCAGCTCTGCATGGTGGGCAGGCTAGCAGGTTCTGCCAGACGGGCACCACGCACAGCACTGGCTCAGGGCTCGACGCAGTCTTATGCGCATGGCAGAGCCACTGTCCCCACAGTGGGGGGGGGGGGCGCAGGCAGACCCCCAGGCCCCTTGTTCCAGCACTCAATATGCCCGACACCCTGTTCTCTCAGACCAAGGCTGGCACAGAGCAGAGCTCCTGCCGCACGGGCACGCGGCCCCGGCAAGGCCCCCTTAAGAAGAGGGAGGGGGCCTGCCCCCAGAGCAACAGCTGGCCCTTCAAAAATAACCCAGGACGGGCTCCAAGCGAGCCAGGCCCAGGACAGACCTCCGCTCTCGGCGCGTGCGAGGCCAAGAAAGACAGCACCCATTGACACTGGGAGGCCCCTCCGGACCAGCTCCCCGCGGTCGCCAGACTGCGCTCACCCCCTCCCCTGCCCGCAGACTGCTGGCCGCGCCCTCGATGACCACGCAGGACAGCGGGGCTGCCACCAGCCACAGCCGACAGGGCGCCCCTAACTCCCCGGAGTTACACAGCGGGAACCGCACGGAGCTAGGTCCCGGCCAGGTCAAGGAGGAAGCAGCGGAGCAGGGGGCCCGGCCGGCATCAAGTCCCGCCGAGCTGCGGGACCCAGCCGGGCGGGGGGCCCTAGGCGGCCCGGCCTCAGCGTGAGACTGGCGGCTGCTGGTCTTGGGGGCCACAATGTCCATCGGGGCAAAGTCCAGTCAGCAGGAGAGGGGTTAACCGGCCGGTCCACACACGCCGGAGCTGAGTCAGGCCGGGGCCGGGCCCCAGGGGCCTGATTGTTCCCAAAGACAAAGGGGACGCTGACGGCCCAACTCTCCGGCCTGTCCAGCGGGCGGGAGCCCAGGGCATGCAGCTGACCCAGGCGGCTCGGCCACGCCGTGGTGACACATGCAGGGCCCCCTTGCCATCCGGGTGTCGGCAAGCGGGGGCAGGGGCGGGGGGGAAGGCAGCCTCTGCAGAAAACCAGACAGGACCGTCCTCGGGCCCCTGGTCTCTGCCTGCGTCTCCACCCCCTAGCAACCAACAAACAGCGCGAGGCCTCTCTGGACACAGGTATTAAATGGCCAGCCGTGGCCTGAGTTACAGAACACTGTGGCTTCCAGTCAGCACAGTCAGAGAGAAACGAGACTGGCCCCGGCCACCCTCGGATGGCGATGCGCACTGGACGCTGGGTGCCTTCCTCTCCCCCTCACACCCCCCCTCGCCTGCATTCAAATCTCATCCCAGCCGCTCGCTCCCCCGCCCCGGGACAGCTTCACCTAGGGAGACGTGAGGGTGAGCGCAGTCCCGCCCTCGGGGGCCGGCGTGGGGCCGGGAGGAGGGGGCGCTGTGGCTGCTGTACTGTTTCCCACACAAGGAAACCACATCGCGGACCCAGGTGGTCAGCGGCCGAATCCGGATCGGAACCCAGCAGACCCCGGCTGGGCGCGCAGGGCCTTGTCCCGTGGCCAGCTGGCCAGGCTGCCTGCAGGACGCCCGGGGTGTCACCGCCCCCTTCTGAGACAGCCTCAGGCGTCTGTAAAACACCCGGGCAGAGCGGGAGCCCGCGACCCATCGGCTGCCGCCACAGTCCCGGGACAGAGGCCCGGCCCAGCCAGGGAGGCCACAGCCTTGGCCCGTGCCCCAAGGTTGCTTCAGCTGCTAAGGTCACACCGCCTGTCCACCTCTGCGCAGACCACGCTGGAGCCACAGCTGCCCGAGGGCAAGCACACCTGGCGGGCGACACGGCCCAGGGGTCCACATCGACCCCACCCCCGGCTGTGTGCCGGGCCCAGTGGCTCCGCGGCACCTGCGTCCACACTGCCCTGGGAAGCAGCTGCGTCCTCTCCCTGGCGCACGCGCACACACGTGAGCACACACACACACGCATGAGCGCACACACTCACTCTCTCAAACCCAGGCATGAAACCCAGGGGCCCAGGTTGGAACTCAGGAAGCACTAGTGTCCCGCCCTAGCGTGGCTGCCCTGCCCCTCCCCGTCGGACACCCCCTGATCAGCAGCTGGGGAGTCGAGGCATGGGGCAGGGTCCCTGTGTCCCCCCCAGCAGCTGCCAGGCCCCATGAGGGCGACGGGAGCCTGCAGGGCGAGGACGGCGAGACCGCTCCCCGGGGACGCACCCAGGGCTGCACGCTGAGCCCAGGCGGCCTGGCAACACCGGCCCTGATCACCCCCTCACCTGCTGCGGCGCCCACAGCCCCAGGACCCAGCTGGCCAGCGCCGACACCGTCTGGCACCCAGGGGCCCAGCCAGCCGGCCCCTCAGAGCCCCGGCAGTGGCTTCCCACGTGCTCACGCGCCAGGCTCACCAAAACCTCCATTCAGAGAGGGCAGACACAGCCACCTCCCCCCGCCACAGGCGAGGAAATGGCACAGACGGCTGTGCCCGCGGTCACACGGCCCCGCGGGGCAGGCCGGCTCTGAGGCCCGCGCCCCCCAGGCTGGGGCGCCGCCGCCCGCCTCCTGCAGGCTGGCCGCTCCCTCCCCGCCCGCCATCCTCCCCGGCTCTGCAGCCTGCCCCCGCCGGCTGGCCCTGGCCACTCACCCGTAGGTCCGCTGGATCAAGGTGGGGTGCAGCTGCTGAACGCCCACGGCAAAACCTAAGGAGACAGGAGGGTCAGGGGCGCTGCCCGCGGAGGCCTGGGCCCCAGGGCCACAGCCTCGTCACCCCGAAGGGACAGCCGACTTCCTCTCTCCTCCCAGGCCCCGCCCCCGTGACAGCCACAGAGCCGGCCGGCTGCCCCTACACCCCGTCGGCAGCCCCAGGGACCGTCCTGCGTGGACAGCTGCCAACCGGGGCACGTGCCCTGCCTGGGCTGCCCACGGGGGAAGGGCTGACGCCCCGCTGGGGTGGCCGCCCAGGGATGGCTCTGCAGGCACAGATAGGGCCGCCACTCCTGCGCAGGGGCAGCGGGAGGGGCCCCCCTCCCCGGACAGAGCCCCGCGCTGAATGTAGGAGCCCAGGAGGGCCGGGAGCCCAGCACACACACTCACCTGTCTGCAGGCTCCTGGGCTTGGCGCCCAGATAAGCCAAGTTCACGTTGGCCTTTCGGCCGTCGATGATGGGGTTGGGGTCTTTGCAAGCCCTCTCAGCTGCTGCCCGGTCGGCCATGGTCACCTAGAGGGGCACAGGCAGGCAGGGGCGTGGGTCGCTGGGCCGGGGGAGCCGGGGGAGCAGGGGCAGGGGGCTCTGTCCCCAGAGATCTCTTTCCCTCTGTCCCCTGGGGCGTGGGAGGGGAAGGGGCTGCTCTCCAGGGCCCCTGGACCTCCTGCGGAGCTGCCCCCTGGACTCCCGCAAAGTTCAAGCGCCGGGGAAGCTGCCTGTAGGACACTAACCCTGTCCTGGGGAGCGAACCCCAAAAGGGGGCAAAGGGCCCCCCAGGGGCGGCCCGGCGGGGAACCCTCCAGTCGGAAGGGGGTGGGAAAGGCGCCTTCGCGTCGTTTCCATGTAAGCCTCCCGGGGGTGGGGGTGGGGGTGGGGGCGGGAGGCCCCGGGGGGCCCCAGGCCCGCTCGGCGGGGGCCTCTGCCCCTCCCCCGCTCGCCGCCCCCGGAAGCCCCGAGCGCGGCCGTCGGGCCCCACACACGCGGGCGCCCTAATTGGACCCAGCGGATCTCCCTGTGAGAGCGCGGGTGGGGGCGGGGAGGCGGCCGGGCCCGCGGGCGGCAGGTGCGGGCGGCGAGGGCGGGCAGGCGCGCGGGCCCGGCCGCGGGGTCCACTTACGAAGCCGTAGCCGCGGGACTTGCCCGTCTGGCGGTCGGTGATGACCACGGCCTCTTCGATGTCGCCGAAGCCCTCGAAGTACTTCCTGAGCGAGGCGTCGGTGGTGTGGTAGGGCAGGCCGCCCACGAAGATCTTGGTGAACGTGGTGTCCTTCTGGGAGCCGTGCATGGCGCCGGGGGCGGCCGGCGGCCGCAGGAAGCCGGCGCACGGCGCGGGCTGCAGCAGCATGGGGGGCGCCCCGCCGCCTACGGACCCGGGCCACGCGGGGCTGCGCTCATGGGGGGCGGCGGGCTGCGCGCGGGCCGACGACGGGCGCCCGTCCAGCCGCCAGGCTCGTCCACGCGCGCGCCGCTGCCGCCGTGCGCGCCCGACTGCGCCGCGCTGCGCTCCGGGCCGGCGCTGCGCGGACTCCGCGCCCCGGCGCCCGCCCCCGGGCTTTGTAGCCGGCCCCGCCCCCGGCCGCGAGGCCCCGCCCCGAGCCGCCCGCCCCGCCCCGGCGCGCGGGGGCCGCCGGGAAGCGTAGTCCGGGCCCCGCCCAGCCGCGCCCCGGCGCGCCCTGCGGTGGGGGGCGCGGGCGGTGCACGCAGCGGGGGCGCCCCTGGGTGGGGGGCGGTGCACGCGGCGGGGGCGCCCGGGGTGGGGGCGCGCAGCCGGCCCGTCTGCAGCGTTGCCCGCTGAGTTACACGGGAGGCGCTGTCAGCATCGCGCTTGCTGGGGCGGCGACACGGAGCAGGAGTGAAGTGAGTTCTGCCGCGTGTGTGGACGGCGTGCGCTCGCGCACAGCCGGCGGGCACGCCCGGCCCCGCGGAGTGCGGGCGAGCGACGCCGTCCGCTCCACGTCCGGCTCCGAAGGCACTGAAGCCGGGGGTCCCGCGGGGGTCCCGCAGCTCCGTCCTGTTCTCGTGGTGGGGGGCTCCCGCAGGGCCGCCCCTCCGAGACAGCTCCTCGCCACGCGGGCCGGGCTCGAGTTCCCGGGGGCGCCCCGACAGCCCGGGGCAAAGCTTTCGACCGAGCGCCCCCGCCTCGGCCGCTCCCCACCCCCCAGCAGCTCTGGGGCGCGCACGGGTGTCCTTGGAGGCCAGGTGGCGCCCTGCGGCTGGGGGACTGCAGGGTGGGCTGGCGCACCCGCTGGCAGGCGCAGCCGCGTCCCGCAGCACTTCTTCCAGAACCTTCTCTGCCCCGCCGAGCCGCCCTCGCTCCGGGGGGTCGGGGCTCGAGGCCCAGCCCAGCTCGCGGAGGGCCCGCGGTGGCCACCCCGCCTCCCCTCCCCCGCAGGCGTCAGCTCGGCCTCTCGGGGGTCTCCCCCCTCCTCGGCGGGCGCCCCAGAAACCCGGATGTCGGGGGGCGCTCGGGAGACGCGTGTTGAGTGAATCCTCGACGGGACCGAGCCCCGCACGCCCTGGAGACCCGGACGGAGCGTGACCTCGACTCGTCCCCCAGCGGCCGCGGACGGTGGCCCTGGGCCCACCAGCGGGACCCCGCGCCTCTCCGGGGCGCTCCCCGGCCTCCCCAGCGCGGGCTGGGGCAGGGTCGGCGGCGCGGGTCGCACGCGGCCGCGGGGACGCCGGGGTGGGGGGGGGGCCCGCCTGCAAGTCCCAGCGCCGCCGGCCCGCCCCGCGTCGGGGAGCCGGAGAGCACGTGCGGGGCGCGGGCTGAACCAGGGTCCGAGGAGGCGGCGGCGGGGGGCGCGGGCTGAACCAGGGTCCGAGGAGGCAGTGGGGGGCGCGGGCTGAACCCAGGGTCCGAGGAGGAGGCGGGGGGCGCGGGCTGAACCCAGGGTCCGAGGAGGCGGCGGGGGGCGCGGGCGGGACCCCCGGTCCGAGGAGGCGGCGGGGGGCGCGGGCGGGAGTCCCGGTCCGAGGAGGCGGCGGGGGGCGCCCTCTCCCCTCTCCCTCGCCCCCTGCCCGGCCGCAGGAACAAACCCTCCCCCAGCTTCAGGTTTTTGGAGCAGAGAGACTCCGGGCGGCTGCGTGTTTCTGTTTGGGCAAACATTCCCGGGCAGGCCCTGCCACGGGCGAGGGAGAGGGCCGAGGGCCACCCGTGTCCTCGGGCCTGGGGAGGCCTCTGGGAGCCGGTGGGAGCCCGAGCCGCGTTTGGAAGGGAGGCAGCCTCGGCGCGCGCGCACACACACGTGCACACACGCGCACACACGAACACTTTATCTGAGAGGCAGAGAGAGACGGACACTGATCAGCGCTGTTTCCACCTGCCGATTCTTCAGATGCCCGCGACGGCCAGGGCTGGGCCGGGCTGAAGCCAGGAGCCCAGACCTCGGCCGCGGTCTCCCACCGGCGTAGCAGGGACCCGAGTCTCTGAGCGGGGCTGAGGGCAGCAGGTGGCAGCCAGGATCGGGGAGCAGCATCTGGGGGGGACCTGTCTGCCTGCTTGGAGGTGGCCGGGAGGGACGTCACAGCTTAACCGAGCGCCCAGGCCGCACAGCCAGCGTGGGCAGGGCGCCGCCGAGGGCAGAAGTCTGGCGTGGGTGTGACTGCCTCGAGCCCGGCTGCCCGGGCGCTGGGCCGGAGCCGCCGGCCGCTCTCCCCCCGCTGGCCTGACTCATCGGTCAACGAGGGAGGGTTGTACCCACGGGATTCTCACTCAGGACGGGCCGTGGGCGCTCTGAATCCAGGCTGCCCAGAAGGCCCTTCGGGGCCACAAACCCACACTGGCCTGTCATTGGTGGTGTGGCCCCGTGACTGGACAGAGACGGGCTGAGGGCCCGGGCGGGCCCCTCGCCGGCTGTGCCTGCCACGGGACCAGTGGGGAGTTCCGTGGCCCTGGGGTCAGGGGGCACCGCCTGGGCCGCGGCTCTGCAGCGTGGTCATTGCTGGGGGTCTCTGGACCCTAGGCGAGGCTGGGAAGGTGTGAACGAGTGACCGCGGAAGGGGCTGAGGGCAGAGCTGGTGGAGCCATGGAGGGAGCACAGGAAGTTCCTAAGTGGCTACACGTGCCCCGCTCACCGCGGCAGGGCGACAGGCTTAGTTTGAGTCTGTCCCTTGTACCTCAGATGCCTCGATGTGGCCACCAGCCTTGACGGTCCCTGGGCTGTGGGGGGCACTGTCCACTCTGTATTACCCACTACTCTAATGGAGTTGGAAAAATAGATCATGGGGCCGGCGCTGTGGCACAGCGGGTTAAATCCCCGGTCTGCAGGGCATCCCATGTGGGCGCCAGTTCTAGTCCCAGCTGCTCCACTTCCGATCCAGCTCTCTGCTGTGGCCTGGGAAAGCAGTGGAAGATGGCCCAAGTCCTTCGGCCCCTGCACCCACGTGGGAGACCTGGAAGAGGCTTCTGACTCCTGGCTTTGGATTGGTGGAGCCCTGGCCCTTGCAGCCATCTAGGGAGTGAACCAGCAGATGGAAGACCTCTCTCTCTCTCTCTCTCTCTCTCTCTCTCTCTGCCTCTTTTTTTTTTTTTTTTTTTTTTTTTGACAGAGTGGACAGTGAGAGAGACAAAGGTCTTCCTTTGCCGTTGGTTCACCCTCCAATGGCCGCTGCGGCTGGCGCACCGCGCTGATCTGAAGCCAGGAGCCAGGTGCTTCTCCTGGTCTCCCATGGGGTGCAGGGCCCAAGCACTTGGGCCATCCTCCACTGCACTCCCGGGCCACAGCAGAGAGCTGGCCTGGAAGAGGGGCAACCGGGACAGAATCCGGCGCCCCGACCGGGACTAGAACCCGGTGTGCTGGCGCCGCAAGGTTTAGCTTAGTGAGCCGCGGTGCCGACCCGTCTGCCTCTTCTATAACTCTGCCTTTCAGATACATAAATCTTTGAGATAAATAAAATAAATATTTTAAAAGAGTCATTGCTTTTCCCTGCAGATAGCAGTGGCGTGTCAGGTCACCCTCCTGTGGCCCTGAAACTGGCAGGGACACGTGGGGCCTCTGTGGAAGCTTTGTACTCAGCCCTCATCACTCCTGCTTGAACATGGGTGGAATGGCTGGAGCTGGGACTGCAATATTGTGCCCATGAGACACTGGCCCTGACGCCACTACTCCAGGGGACGTTTGCCAGTGTCTGGGGACATTTTTGGTAGTCCCGGCCTGGGGGAGGGGCTGGTACTGCCGCTGAGGGGTGGGGGCCAGCGATGGTGGGCTCCACAGCGGGGTTTCCCGTCCCAAGCGCCAAGGCTGAGCCTGAGAACCCCTGTGCTAACCCAGCGCAGCAGCACGTAAGAAGACGTCCGTCCTGACGTGCTGCGTGGAGACGGACGCAGAGGACTGCCTCGGAGGGGCCGGCGTGGCTGGGGACAGGGCTCTGCTCCCCGCCGCCCCGGCCAGCTCAGGCTGGAGTCTGAGCCGCGGCGGCTCCCTCTAGTGCTTCACCCCTGCGCCCCCTGCACCGGGGCGGACGTGGAAGGGCACGGGGTGGCGATGCAGGCGGGGCCTGCACGGGGTAAGCCTGGCTCGCGCGCCGCCTCCCCTCCCTGGGGCTCGCGGCCTTGCCCGCAGCAGGCAGGGACTGTGCGGGCACCTGCACCGGCCTCGCCCACGCCCAGGGCCCCAGAGTCTTGAAAGATAACCCCGGCCTAGCAAAGCCGAGAGGACCCAGGGGCCGAGCCAGCTCCCCGGGGTGACCGGCCTCCTCCGTCCCCTGCTGAGCGGTCAGGCTCCCGTCTCCGCAGGGCAGCCGCGGCCACAGCCAGGCAGCAGGGAGCAGGCGGCCGCAGACCCCCGCGTCTGGACCCGGCACACGTCACACACTCGCGAGTGGCCACCTCTGTGGCCCTCAGTTTCCCCGGCTGTGAAATGGGCATAACAGAGATGATGGCTCCCCCGGGCTTCTGGGAGATGAAGAGCACTAGGCCGACCTCACCCAGAGCCGTTCGCACCGCGGCCCCCTGTGCTCCCCGCCCCTCGCCTTCCCAAACCGGAGCTCAGGGGCCCGCCTCACCCCCACCAGCCCCACGCCCAGCCCAGCCTCACCGACGGGGTCCCCTCCCAGGGCTCCTCGGCCGGTGGAGCCCGCGGCCATCTGCCGAGCCCTAGGACCCCTTCTCAGAGAGACGGCGCCCAGCCCTGAGAAACGAAACGCCTGCACCTGCCAAGGAAGACGGTCGAGCCGGAACCCGGCCATGGAAGCGTCCGGAGCAGACCAACGGAGAAGGAACGCGGGTGCGCTCGTGTGTTACCACGTGGGACGCGAGCGGCCGGGAGCAGGCGGCCAGCCCCTGGTGGCGGCAGCCCCTCCGCGGCCGTGCTGGTCCCTGGCCCGCTCGGGCTGCGGTTGGGGAAGATGGAGAACTGCCCCCGACCCCGCTCACAGACCCCGGGTTCTCCCTGGGCTCTGTGGGGTCCGCGGGCCCGGGCAGGACCCCCTTCATGGGAGCTGCAGCTCTGACGAGTCACCGCACGTTCTGGGCTCAAAACCGCACAGACCTTCTCCCCGTTCGGCGGCGGGCG